AGAATTATATTAAGTGAAACAAGTCAGGCACAGAAAGAGAAATACCACATGTTCTCACTTATTTGTGGGAGCTAAAAATAAATAAATAAATTCACACATGCACACACACACACACACACACACACACCGGGGGTGGGGGGGATGGGAAGAAGACCTAACTGCAGTTCCTTGAAGTTGATATTACAAGCAAACAGAAAGGACATTGTTGGGTGGGAGGGAGCAGAGGGAGGAGGGAGGGAGGTTTCAGTAATGGGCTACAATAATCAACCACACTGTATATCGACAAAATAAAATTAAAAAAAATTATTTAAAGTTACTAATAAAACTCTACCGAGTTAAAATAAAAATAGAAAAAAAATGTGAAATGAAACATTCAGTTCATTAGTATTATTGATTCACTTTTTAAAGGAAATAGCTCTGTTGAGATATAATTTACATACCATAACATCTCCCATTTAAAGTGTACAGTTCAGTGGTTTTCAGTATATTCAAAGAATTGTTTGGTCATCGCCACAGTCTAATTTTAGAACACTTTCATTACTTAAAAAAGAAACCATATCCATTAGCAGTCACTCCTGTTTCCAATCCCCCTGGTTCCAGCTGTAGGTAATCACTAGTCTGCTTTCTGTCCCTATAGATTTGCCTATTCTAATGCAATCATATTAATATGTCTTTTGTGATTGGCTTCTGTCACTTAGCATGTTTTTAAGGTTCATTCATGCTGTAGCAGGTTTCAATACTTCATTACTTTTAATTGCTAAATAATATTCCACTGTATGATATATACTACATTTTGTTTCATTAATTAATTTCATTAATTGATGGACATTTGGGTGATTTGCACTTTTTGTCTTTTATGAATAATATTGCTGTAAACTTTCATACACAAATTTTGTATCTACTTATGTTTTCCTATCTCTTGATTATACACCTAACAGTGTTTAACATCTTTAGGAACAACCAAACTGTTTCAAAAGTAGCTGCACCATTTGTGTTCCCACCAGTAGTGTATGAAGGTTCCAATTTTTACACATCCTTGCTAACACTTTTGTTTGTCTTTTTGATTATAGCCATCCTAGTGGTTGTGAAGTGATACCTCATTGTGGTTTTTATTTGCATTTTCCTAATGACTAATGATGTTGAGCTTCCATTCATGTACTTATTGACCATTTGTATATCTTTCTTTTTATTTCTATAAGGTTAGTAGTTGTCTCCTCTTTCATTATGGATTTTAGCAATTTGAATCTTCTTTCTCTTGGTCAATCTAACTAAAGGCTTGTCAATTTTGTTACTATTTTTAAAAAACCATCTTTCGGTTTAATTAGTTCTCTGTACGTTTCTCTATTCCCTATTTCATTTATTTCCTCTCATTATTTCCTGCCTTCTGCTTGCTTTGGGTTTAGTTTGCTTTGCTTTTTTCAGTTTCTTAATGTGGAAGATTAGGTTACTGATTTCAGATTGTTCTTATATTTTAATATAGGCATTTCTAGAAATAAATTTCCCTATGAGAACTGCTTTAGCTGCATCCCATACATTTTGGTATGTTGTTTTTGTTTACATTCACCTCAAAGTGTTTGCTAATTTCGCCTGTGTTTTATTCTGTGACCCATTGTTTATTTTGGAGTGTGTTTTTTAATTTCCACATAATTTAAATGCACATTTTGTACATTTCCAAAATTTCCTTCTGTTAATGATTTATGATATTATTCCATTGTGGTTGGAGAAAATAACCTAGTATGATTTCAGTCCTTTTAAATTTATTGAGGTTTGTTTTATGACCTCAAATATGTTCTATCCTGGAGACTGTTCCATTTGCACTTAAAAAAAAATGCATATTCTGCCATTGTTGAGCAGAGTGTTCTGTACATGTTTGTTAGGTTTAATTGGTTTATAGTGTTGCTAAATCTTTTCTTTACAAGTTGATGTTCTGCCAAGTTGTTTGATCCATTATGGAAAGTGAGGTATTAAAGTCTCTATTATTGGACTGGCCAGTTAGCTCAGCTGGTTAGAGCACAGCCTTCTAAAATCAAGGTCAAGGGTTCAGTTCCCCATACTGGCCAGTCACCAGAAAAAAAAAAAGTCTCTATTATCGAATTATGTATTTCTCTTTTCAATTCTTTATGTATTTGGGGCTCTGTTTTTAGGTGCATATATATTTATAATTGTTATATCTTCCTTATGGACTGACCTTTTTATTATCTTTATAAAATGTCCTTCTTTGACTCTAGTAACAATTTTTGTCTTAAAGTCTAGTATGTCTGTTGTATGTAGACAGTACCTAGTGGGACTATAATTTTCTTTATCCATTCTGCCAACCTCTGTCTTTTGATAGGAGTATATATTCCATTTATATTTAATGTAATTACTGATAAGGTAGTATTTATGTCTACCATTTGCTGTTTGTTTTCTATATGTCTTACTATTTCTTTTAGCGCTCCATTGCTGCTTTCTTTTGTTAAATGTTTTATACTATATCACTTTAATTGTCTTGTTTCTTTCACTACATATTTTTCAAGTTAGTGTCTTAGTGGTTGCCCTTGCAGCTGCAATTAGTATCTTAATTTTTAAAAAAACTAGTTCAGATTAATACTAACTTAATTCAAAGTGCATATAAAAAATTTGCTCCGAGAGGGAAGATGGCGATGGGTCTGGAGTGAGCGTGCCAGAGGACAGAGAGAGCCTGAGAAGCGTGCGCTGTGCTGCCAGAGTACTATTTGCATTTCCAAGAGCAACAAAAAACAAATAAATCACTGATCAACTAATCTACAACGAAAAAAAGCAACTACAGTCTCGAGGTTTTAGGGCCGAT